TCATGGAGTCAGTTAGCAGAGGGGCCGATTCACACCAAATGTGAGGTTGGAGGGCTTATTTGCCACCTTTTTAATTCAAGGGCTTGTCACTTTCTGTTGAAAAAGTTAAGGGGCTTAAGAAGGGTTTTTGTCGATAAATATGCATATATTAATTCACGCGACTCATAAAACAAAGAAGTGTCAATTACAATTTCTACCAAGTACAAGTAGTGTAAGAAATGAGATTATGGATAAACAATTTTCTTAAAGAAAAACTCTTGAAAAGGATATTTTTATTTTTTTTTATTAATAGAAGATTACAAGTTATATAATCAAATATAACTATCTTCCTTATTACTACTCTTTACATCGGTATCATCATTATTTAAAGCAAAGATTCTTATTTCTAGGACCAAAGAAGATTATTATTACTATTATTATGATTAAGTTTTCCTTTTATGGATGATTAACACTACGGAATTGTGTTAACCAATTTCAGGTGTTGTTACGACAATGTCTTGCTTGTCAGTCCTGACATAAACACGATTGCAGCAGAAGTCAGTCAGCCCAATCACGTCTGGACCTAGTTTTATAATGGTCACATATGGAGCATCTCTGTGGATTACTGCTTTGGCTTCATCGAATTTCTTTCCAACCAATTCTGGAAATCTAGTATCTACAAAATAAAAAGCACCAGCAATTTTATAATAGTGACAGGTAGATTGAAAAAAAATCTACTATAGAATGATGTATTATATTATAAATTTATAGTGTCACATAACATTATAATAATTATATTATTTTCATAGAAATAAAATATCTAACCAATGAACTTAACTAGTTCAATTGCAATATCTTTTTAACAAAAGTGAAAAATTTTAAGTTTAAGTAGAATAGATTAAGAAATAGAAAAAAAATATTGATAAAAAGAAAAGATAGAAAAGGATTGACTTCCCAATTAAACAAATTCAAAAAATAAAAATAAAAATCTCACAATTTGAAACAACATGAATACGTACGGTCGCAATCTTCATTAACACAAGGTGGGTAGGGAGGCCAATGCGGTATGTATTTTTCGTTAACTCCAGCCATCTTCGATATTTCTGCTTTTTTCTTTCTTGTAGTTTTTCGTCTTTGATATTGCTCTTGGTTGTGTGTGTCCATATATATATATGATTATTTTTCTCCAAAACAAGAAAGCCACCAATTTAAGGAAAATAATATTCCAACTGTTCTTTTAGACAAAAAAACATTACCTACTTTCCTTTTGTAGTTAGAGGTTACCAATATCACGCCCATCACCTTGTGGCATGTTGGCCACAAACAATTTTTTCTATAAAATTTAAAGAATAGATTTAATGGTAAATAAATGTTCTCTTATAAATTAAGTTTAGGATTTTTTTTTGGTAAAAGTTTAGGATTTAGTTTAGGGCTAGCATCTAAAAAATTTAATTTTTTTTGGAAGTACTAGGTCAATGGTGGCAATATACTTTTTAAATTTTTTGAAAAAAAATATTCTTAAAATATTGATAAGTGTATTAAACTAGAAAATATACTATATTACATATTTTAATTAAAAAAATATATAAAAATGTAGTACTCATTAATCCATGCGTTTTTGTTTAAAAAAAAAAATCCATGTGTTTTCGTCTTAATGAAGGAATCAAATGGTAACCGATAAATCTTTTTAATTCTTGCTTTCATCGGTTTCTTGGAATCCATGCAATATTTTTTTATTATTGCGCACGGTTTCATCAGTTTTAAGTCTTGTCTTTGCAACCGAGAAATTTCTTTCAAAATTTTAACTGTTTTTCTACTTCAGTTACGTTTGTGAAGGCCCATAAATAGGCAGCCTCTATTTCTGCCAAAAATTAATATAATTTTCATAATTTATATTTTTATTCCATAAATATAGTATTCAAACTCTCTTTGGTTAAAGAAAATGTGATGGGAAAAAGCTTTCTTTATAAAAATACAGTACTTATAAAAATATAATGAAAAAAAGTTGCATTGTTATATATTGGAGGTGGTACGGTGATAAGAAAACTGTTGTATCAATGGCACAAAATATTATAAAAAGAGTGATTGATTCACATATCAATTTAAGTTCTTGGTACTTTTGGTGACATCCTTTTATTTTTCATCTTTAATAATGATCCGCATATCATTACCAATTTGACATTTTTTTCCATTTGATGAGTTAAAATCCAGTCCAGTTATATATATATATATATACACACACACACTTGGTTCCATTTATTCAATGAAGAATCGCCAGCCCCAATAGAAAGAATAAGAATTTGTATATCTACTTATTTAATGATACATAAAAATTATAAAAAAAATTATATAAAAAATTATCTGTATATTATTACCAATTTAACATTTTTTCCATTTGATGAGTTAAAATCCAATCCAGTTATATATATATATATAGTGCATTCCTCTAAATCATATTGTTGAGGGGTTAATACTCTTAAGTTTTAAGGTGAGGAGCTAATAATCTTAAAATCTATAAATTAAGGGGCTAAATAAGGGGTTAAACCCAAATAATTGTGTTTTTAAAATACTAGATGATTAAGTTGTATTTCTTAACATTGAGATTGTGTGGGTTTTTTTTTTCTTTTTCCTTTGGCCTCTAAAGAAAGAATTGAGATTGTGGGTTTAGGTCTCCTCTATGCAGCGTTATTGTTATAAATAGAGATTTTGTGAAAATTCCATTTTTTAGGAGTTAAGTTCTATATGATTAAAAATTAGTATTTATCAATTGGATTTGTAAAAATTAAGTAAAAAAGTATTTTAAAATTATTATTTTTGTTTTAAAATAACTTTTATTTTTGATTTTTAAAAGAAATTAAAAATATAGGAGTAATTTATATATTTACTTATATTATCTTTAAAAAAATAACAAAGGATTTTTATAATAAAATAAATAATTAAAATAAATGAACAATTATAGATTAAAATAAGAAAAAAATGATTTGTAAAAAATTATGTTGTGATGGAGAGTGCATGTCATTGCAATAAAGCATCACAAGTAAAAAACTAAAATAACATCGTTTCAAGATTGGAATAAAGACTACCTTAATTTTTTCTTTTATTTTTTCTTACAATATTTTATTATTGAAATGACCTAATTTTTTAGGTATTTTGCACATTGCACCTATTTTTTATGGATGCAAAATTGAATAACTAGTATTCTAGTAATGGACTTTGTCAAGCCCAATAATTTTCGTCAACATTCAGCCCAATAACTTCTATATCAAGTTTAGGCTAAAAAATGGGCCCATTATAAACAAGTTCATTTTCTGTGTAAAGGGTTTAGTAAGTGTGTACTGTGGGGGTCGTCTTCTTCATCTTTCTCCTTCATCCCTGAGCATGGAGGGTTTTACAGATAACTAGTTCTTCTTCCAATCTTAAAGAATTGCAGTGACAGAAATGGCACCAACTCCGTTCTCTCGTCTCCTCCTGAGGCGGTTTTCTCTACCCTCTAAAACCCCGCCAAAACCCCCCAGCCGCCAGTTTTCAATTTTCACCATTTCTAAGAGGTCCTTCTCCACCTCTCCACCTCCAACCCCTACCCAAGACCCGCCTAAACCCTCCTCACTCTCCGCCCGCATGAGCTTTGTCTTTGAACAAATCGACCAAATCGAGAAGCAGAGGCGAGAACAGTTCCACCAGAACGACGACACTCTGCAGCGTATCCGGGCTTGGCGGCAATCAAAAAAGGAATCCCAAGAAACCCAACAACCTGAGAGCAACGACCGAATCCAGGATTCGGGAATCGCAGAAAATGATATAAATTCTGGTGTTTTAGGTGAGTCGAAACCGAGCGAAGATGCCCTCCAGCGTATCCGAGCTTGGCGCCACTCTAATAATCCGGAAGGTATGCCATATCCAGAGTCCGAAACCGCCAGTCAGCCAGTGGTGGAGTTGGTTGAGTCTGAGTCAGGGGAGGTCGGAGAAAAGAAGGGGGAGAAGGCGGCAGAGCTGTTACACCCATGGCCAGAGTGGATAGAATTGATGGAGAGATTGGTGCAACAGAATTACTTTGATCATAAAAGGAGAGATGAGGATAGGATGGTGCAAGGTTTGGGATTTGATATTAGTAATGTTGCTGAGGAGGTTAATGATGATGCAGGGATTGATTTTAATGACTACAAGACTGTTCAGACTGCATGTATTAATTTTGGGAAGGATCGCTTTGATATTTTGAGGTTTGTGGATTAGTGTTTCACTTTGGTTTCTGATAATTGACATTGCATTGCAAAAGGAATGGAGTTCATTCAATAGTAAAATTGTCTGCCCTTTTTCTGTTTCAACAAAAGGAATGGTATTAATAGGTTTTTAAGTTGATACTATGTTGAATATGGAGGCTGAGTTCTAGACGACATAAAAGTATATTTCCATTTCATTTCTGTGATTATAAGTTTCCCTTCTTTGCATGGTATTACAATGGGCATGCTTAAGTGCATCAAATTGGTCTCCTTAAAATTTTGTTAAGAAAATGTCTCTCAAGCAATGATTTCTATAGAAACCAAAAGAGAGTGATTTCAATTTATGCTACTTTGCTTGAGCTCGCTTGCTGAGGTAGAAATTTTATTTTAGGTCATTTTCGAGACAGGATATTCAAATTTTGGTTGGTTATGGGTGCCCTAGTACGGACAAGAAGGTGGTGTTCTCTTCAAAACTATTGCGCAAGCGTGTCCACCTTGACGAAGGAGATGTACGTTTTAATTGCTTTTGTGTGTTTGCTCATATCAACAACTTATCTCTCTCCATTCTAGTTATTATTTCTTCTTTTTGGGTTTTTGAATTATTTTAGCTGTCTGGCAATGTTAGGTAGAAGATGAGTTTAGATATAGGATATTCATTTTTGTTTAAGATACTTTCTCACTTCCTTTTTTCTTTGTTATTTCCTGATTTTAGGAATCTACTTTTTTAATGTTTTAGTATCTCTTCATTTTTTTTTTTTTTCTGTTTGTTTTCTTTGTTTTATCATTAACAGTTCTTTGCAGATTTAATAAATAATCATAAATTGTTAATACTGACAGATATTTTGTATATCAGGTCTGTAGTTCCTGCAGTCTGAGGAACTCCTGTCAGTTAGCATATCTTTTAACAAACAAAGAGGATGAGGCACGGACTATTGATATAATGCGTGTACTATTGATTTATGGTTTTGATTTTATAAATGGATCAGTGGTCAATAAGGATCTTTTGAAACAAAAGTCTGTGAAGATTGTTGCCCGTAAGTTACTTCATGAGGTTGTCAAGTTGAGTGCTGTTCCAATAGATCCGAATCTTCCTCCTCCTATAATAAAGAAGCCTCCACCAAAAGTGAAGCAACCCCCTCCCCCTCCAAAGAAGCGTGTTGGACGTGATGACATTGAAATGAAAAAAGGGGATTGGCTTTGTCCTAAGTATAAATTCTTCTTTCCTAGCCATTACTCTTGTCTTTTGAATTCTTGGCAGCAAGTTACTAATCGAGACTGAGATGCCTTGAGTTCATGGAATTGTTAATTCTTTAATATTATTTACTGTTTGCTTGGTTTAGTTGTGTAAAAACACATTCTGGGCCTCACTAATTTATGTTTCTGGATATTAAATTCTTCTGGTATTCCAGAGATGCTATAATTTTCTGAAGATGCTTATTTTGGTCTCAGGTGTGACTTCATGAATTTTGCAAAGAATACTGTTTGTCTACAGTGTGATGCTAAGAGGCCAAAGAGACAGCTGCTTCCTGGAGAATGGGAATGTCCTGAGTAAGTTGTGTTTTTCTTTTCTTTGCTTATCAACAAAATTGGTCATTTCAAGACTTGTTAACAGCAATTTTTTTTCATATGCTTTCCTCTGCCATGTTACTCTTGGCTCACTAGAGTACTTATGTAATCCATGATCTTTTTGTTTTCCTTTTTTCACTGTTGACCAAGGAAATAGTCATGCAACCTGGTATCATATAACTATGTGAATCTTTTCTGCATCATTTTCCAGGATTTATTTTGCTTCCTTTTTTCCCTTATTTGGGGGAGGGGTGTTGGAAAAAATGTCAACCTGTGTTTACACTCTTGGCTAACCCTTGAATGATACTCCTAACTCCTTGAATGATCATCAAATAGACCTACAAAATTCAGCTCCAAACTTCTATGGTATCTAAATTTGGTGAATTGTTTGCTTATTTGTTCATTCTTTGATATGGCAGGTGCAATTTCTTAAATTACCGAAGAAATATGGCATGCTTTCATTGTGATTGCAAACGTCCACCTGATGCATTTGTGGAGAATAAAATGCAAGGAATGCAACCAGGTCCCAGAACAAGGTTGGAGAAGGTTGCCAGGCAACAAGAGGTTTCTAATGCCTGGAATTTTGACTTTGATGATGATGAATCAGATGGAGCAGATGTTGCAGCTTTTGAGCATGCAGATACACCAGTAATTGATGGAGATTCTCCTTCAGATACTGGGCCCCCTAGAGGTAACTTTAGAGGGCTCGGAAATGATTTCAATGATGGAGGGCAAGTCCAAAGGAATGAAAGAGATTATTCTGATCCTGACAGCAACAGACCTGGAGTGGGGTTTGATGATTTTGATGATGAAGATGATGTTGACAGTTATGAGATAGATACACAAAATAGTAATCCTGCTTGGAGAGCTGCTTCAAATGATTTTTCTCATGTTGAGGGGTTTTCTGAGTCAGGAGGTGTCAGGGGCTTCAATCATGGTTCTGTTGCTTATAGGACAGCAAGGCCTCCATCATACAGTGAGCCATCTAAGTCCTTACGTAGAAAAGCAACCTTCTCTGATTCTGAGCTGGATTTTGATTCAGATGGAGAACTTGCAGTTCATCCTAACTGGAAGTCCAGTCATGTTGCTGACTCAAGGCATAGAAGTGGTGGTGCAAGAGTTTCTTCTAGAGGATTAAGCTTTGGCTCAGATGATGAAGTTGAGCTCAATTCTGATATGGATGATGATTTTGATGACTATGGATCCCAGCAGGAGAAAGGAAATAGAAGGGGTTATAGTAGAGGGGGTTTTCAGAGGGGTGGGAGATTTGATGTTAATGATGGTTCCTTTTCTGGTCCAGAACTGGAAAACAATGGCTCAGGTTTCCAGAGAAATAGGTCAGCTGTAAGGAAGATAGGATCTGGTGGAAGAGGAAATAATTTTAGCAGCAGCAATGACTATTACTTTGATAAAGATGCAAAACTTAGAACCAACAGCAAGATGGGTGTTCGAAGGAATGATGGTTATGAAAGATCATCTAGAGATTCTCGTGGTGATAATAGGTTTAGGGCAGATTACTATGGTAGTTGGAGAACAGACAACAGAGAGGGTTATAAACAAAGTGAAGGATTTAGAGATCATAAAGGTGGTGACTATGGCTATCGGAGAATGAACAACAGGGGTTATGAACGAGGTGAAGGATTTAGAAACCAGCAACGTAGAAGGTCAGATAAGTATGATAGGGACAGGGATTGGGATCCCAGTGAATTCAGAAACAGTAGGCGCGTTAATGACAGGTAAGTCTGAGTTGTAACCAGATTACATGCTGCTTCATTTCATGGAGGCTTCAGAAGCAATAGGTTCTTGAAATCAATGATAAGACAAGGTGATTATTAGTCCTGTTGAAAGAGGCTGCCTCTGGAGCAAGGTATCAAAGAGGTAAACTCGTTTTCCTATCTACTGACTGTTTCCTGTTTAGAGGAAATCTTTTGGTCTTGCCATAGGGTGTTCTTGTGTGCTGGAAAGATGCTTGAATCTGTTGGTTTCATTGAAACAGAAATAATGTTTTCTGGGTTCTCTTTCAAGAGAGAAAGCAAGGGAATCAATTGCCGTGGGATGATAGGTGTATCAAAATGATAAATTTATTTCATATTCTTTCAAGGTCTCTAGCTTCTTCTTTTTCAACTATAATGTGTTATAAGAGTCTACTTTTTGATGAAAACTATTCAGTTAGGAAAGCAGCATCGTTCATATATATAGTTTTTCAAAAAAATTTAAAAATCTGGCATGGAGCATTGCTTGGTTTATGGTATGGTTGGAAACCTGGTAAGCTCCTATAAATGTAATTAAGCATTGTTAAATCAAGAGGGATGTGATAGATTAATCGTCTGAATGTTATCTTAGAAAATTTATCCTAAATTTCACCCAAAAATGTTGTGGTCCATGCATTCTGAATGGGGAATTAAGGCTCTCTCAACATGTTTATTTAAACTTTCAGCATGATTCATGCAACAAAAGCAAAACACGAGTCATGCATGAAAACACAATTCATGCATGGATCTTAAACTAATTCTTGATGTCACCCTAGAAACCAAGAAGAAAAGATAATGGATCATAGAAAAGACTTAAATGAGAGTGCAATCTCCTTATACAAAAACCAAAATTGCATGGTGATCCTTAAATTGAATTGATAAGAACAGGTACTTAAATAACAAAAAAAAAAAAAAAAAGTTGATGCGAAAAGATTGGTATTTTATACTTTAATATAATTCAAATGCTAAAAAAATTAACTGAAAAAATACTTTCTAAATTCTTAATTGGGATTTTTTTATCACAACAGAATTCATGCCACCAAAATAACAGATTTCATGCATGAGTGATGAGTCTAAACTCTAATTCTTTGGATGACTACAAAGGGAATTAGATGCCCTAGTAAAGTAGCAAGTGCAATCATCTTTCGAAAAATAGACAAAAATGTATGTTTTTTTTTGAAGTTTCAGAATAATAATAAAAACCTTATATTGTCAAATTAGACCCCCCCCCCCCCCCAAAAAAAAAATAAAAAAGATATTTGGTACATGTAAATTTTGGAACTTTTTCTCAGTTATTTTTAAAATTCATATATTTACTTATGAATTGTAGGTTTTCAAATCAATTGCACAGGGGTGTTTAAATAGTATTTTAAGTATTATTATATTTTAATTTTGCACGTCAGCCTAAAAAACACTTTCTGTTAATTTTTCACCAAAGAAAAATCATGAAAACCCTAAAAATATATCCTCTAAACAAAGAAACTTTAAATCTCTTTTGAATTATTTCTAGACAGGTTGTATCTTCACTTTAAAAAGTAATGATAGAGGGGATAAAAATTTAGAACCAAAATTTAAGATTAATCAAATAGTATAAATCATATAATTAAATTAATTGATGTGTATAATATTACAATTCTTGAAAAAAAAAGTTAATTATTAAATAATATAAAATTTATTTTAAATATTTAAATAATATAATTTATAGCACCTCGTTGATCTAAATTTTTGGTCCCATTAATCATTACTCCTCTTCAAAAGTTAGAAACTTTGATAAGATTTGATTTAATTTAATAAAATAATCTAATAACTTTTGTATTTTTTTCTATTTCATCTAATATCTTTAGACATTTTTAGATTTATTTATTATCTTTTATTTTTATTTGAGTTTAGTTTAATTTATTAATTTTTTAACAATAATTTTATTTTATTTGGTCAAATTGATCTTCAACTATAATCCTTTGTGAATTTTTATTTCTTAAAATTAATTTTGAAATAAAACTAATTTTGTGAAGATGATAAATTTTTTTTTATTGTTTGAAGAATTACAATGTTTATCACATGCTACTTTAACTTTCCTTTTAATAATTTTCTTTTATTGTAAAAACTACAATTATTAATATATTTTAATAAATTACACAATTTATCGTGAACTACTTTATTAATGAAGTTGATTTTATTTTAATTTTGTTTTAATTTTTCTATTTTTTTATTAAAACTAATAAAAGTTTTATATAATACAATTATTAATATATTTTAATAAATTACACAATTTATCGTGAACTACTTTATTAATGAAGTTGATTTTATTTTAATTTTGTTTTAATTTTTTTATTTTTTTTATTAAAACTAATAAAAGTTTTATATAATAAATTATTTTAAAATGTTTTATAAAGTTTATAATTATTTAAAAAAAAAAACTAACTTTCTAAATTAAAATAAAATTAAACTAATAGTTAATACCCTAAGTCATAAAATTCAGAATTCCTAATTTTTCCAAATTTCCACTTTGGTTCTACCAAGTACCAACCTCCTTGGCAGTATAAAATACCGGCGAAAACAGAGCAAAACCTTGAAGAACATGACGATGTCAAAGCTCCCGGAAAATTTAACGGTGGACATTCTCTCAAGGCTGCCCGTGAAAACTCTTTCCAGATTCAAATCCATCTCCAAAGATTTCCTCACCTATCTTTCCGACGACCACTTTTTCCACCAACTCCACCGTCTCCGATCACAAAAATACCCCTTTGTTCTCTCCGTCACCTTCTCCGTTGAGAAAGAGCCTCTCGCCACCGTCCACATATCTTCCTCCGATCACCGGGGGCAACCCATTAACCAGTTCGCTAAAAAGATCGAAATTGAATCCCGGCCTGTGGCCGATCTGCTCCCTTCCCACCACCACCTCGTTTGCATCGCCTCAAGAAACAACATTTATATCTGCAACCCCAGTACGGAGGAGCTACTTCCCCTGCCTCCAAGCTCTGTTCTGAGGAAATTCTGCCCAGCAGTAGGATTTGGTTACTTGCCTTCCAAGAAAGAGTACAAAGTTCTGAAACTGAGTTACCTCCAGGTCGACTTAGACGATCCTAACAACTGGGTAATTGAAGCAGAGATACTTACAATCGCCACTCCCACCAACAATCTTTGCGAGGTTTATTTTTCTTTATGGAGGGTCTTGAAAGAAAAGTGTCCTTATGTGGTTGAAGGTCCTTCTGTTTTTGTCAATGGATTTGTCCATTGGAAGATTCACAAGAATCCTTTGTGGGTTCAAATCCGAGGAGGAGATGAAAGGATACTCTCATTCAACCTGGAAGAAGAAAAATTTCAAACTCTTCCTCGTCCTCTTAGTGTAACAGGGTATGATTCTGAATTCGAGCTAGCTGGAATTAGAGGGAATCTCTGGTTAGTTGAGTACACACACGAGAGTTTCGTCATGGAATTGTGGGTTCTTAAGGATTGGGAGAACCCTTTATGGAAGAGGGAATGCAGAATCGATTGTAGAACAATTGGGAAAGACATTGGAGCTCGGATGATGCATCCATTGGATTTTCAGAATGCAGAGGAAATCCTGTTTAGAGTTGATGAATTTGGGTTAATCCGTTACAATGTCAAGAATAAAACTTACTCTGATTTGAGAGAGGAGAAGAGTAGTTTTAGGTTTTGTTATTATACAGATGGTTTCTTGTCATTTTGAGAGTTTTCATTTTTCATTCATCAAATCTTTTTCTCAACCTTTTTTTATATATACAATAAAAGTATGGTTTTGTTAAACCATGTGTAGTTCAAAGTTCAAACTGTACTTTACCAAGGCTAAACAGAAAAAGGTAAAAACAGTAGATCATAATCTGTAGCACTAACAGAAAGAACTAGTAATCATGATACGTATAAACAATTAAATATAGAGAGTATTGAAGTATCAGTAAAATCAATAGAACTATGAATTTAGGCTAATACTGTGTCAAGACTAAAACTTTCTTTGATTATTATTATTATTATTTTTTAAGTAGTTGAGGTGTTTTCAAACTAACTTATGCATGTCTTGAGATTAATCCCTCTTTAGTTAAGTTAAAAATAGTTAAGTTAAAGGCAGACCATTAACGTCAAAACTAGAGATGAATTAATTTCTCATTGGTCTTCTTCCTAAAGAATTGAACATTGGTTAGTAAGGGAAAAAAAAAATCTCTAGCCAATTAGGCCACAACTCTTCGCATAAACTTTTATGTAATATGAGGGAGGAGAAGAGTAGCTTTAGGTTTTGTTATTATACAGATGGTTTCTTGTCATTTTGAGAGTTTTCATTTTTCATTCATCAAATCTTTTTCTCAAGCTTTTGGTTTCATCAATTGTTGTTTTGTATAACGATTTGTAAGTGTTGCTGTTAAGTCCCCAGCAAAACTGGTGGCATATCCTGATCTCGTACCTTTTATCTTTTACTACCACAACAATTTATCAACAACGAAACTGCAAATTCAGCAATATGACAATTAAGAAAAATACATTGGAAAAAACTAAAATATTTTATTAATTTTTTATTGACTTCTTGATTTTGGTATATAAAATCAAATCTTCCTCATCATGCAGCTAACTATATGAAGATCAGTTAATCAACCAACAGAAGGTACTTGGAGAACATTCCCTTGTGGGTTAGAGACGATATAAACACGGTTGCAACAGAAATCTGGGCTTCCAACCCTTCCTGGAGTAAGTATCATAACAGTCACATCTGGATTGTCCTTTTGAATTATGGCTTTTGCTGCCTCTGCATTCTTTCCCACTAGTTCAGGCCACCTAAACTTATATTTTCCTACGCAACAAAATTACAAAACCTCAATTACTAACACAGGCGGAGCAACATGTAGACCCGCTCCGGAGGGGGGTGAGGGTGGGTGTTCCCCTTGAACTTTTGGAAAAAATTTAATTCAATCCCAAATCTTTGAAGCTTTTAAACATAAATTCTATTATAAGTAGTCATTAATCTTTTAAATATAAGACTTTTTTTCCCAGAAATTTTTATTTTGTTTCAACTAATATTTCTAAATTTTATGATAATAATCATCATTAGTTGATAAAAAAATCATAATTATATGTTGTATTAGCTTTAATATTAAAATTTAAATTAAACATTGGTATGCCAATTAGTGAATATTAAATATAAAAAAATTCTAAACTTTTTATAAATAATTGATAAAAAAATTTATAAATTTCTAACACACCTCCTCTTTTCTCTCTTCCACATCCGCTATTTGCTTGAAAACCCTAAGTTATTTCTTTTACAATGCTTAAAATCACTTTAAAATACTCAATTATATACGTTATTTAGTCTTTTTTTTTTTAAAATTAAATTAATAATAAAAAATTTACCCTTAATACAAAACAAACTATTGAATGGTCATATCTAATTTTTCTTCTTTTTGTCATTGATGTGATTCATTATTGCAAAAATATTATTTTTTTTATTTTTAATTGATTTTTTTGGCTCTTTTTTTTTTTTTTCGCAAAGATAACTTAAAAAATATTCACTAATTACTAAAAGAGACCTTTATAGATTTTGTTTTGGTCATTCCTAAGCACTATTAGAGCTTCCTTTCTCTCATTTTCCTTTGCCAAAAATTTGGCTCCCCCTCTCAAGAAATCCTGGCTCCACTACTGAATTTACTAATAATCCCAAGCTTGACTCTATAGACTTAATCTAACAGAATTATCCTCCCTTTATATTCTAAAATAATAAATTTTGATTTATTGAAAAAAATTAACAAGACTGTTGAGTCAAACAGAAGCTTTAAGTTACCATGTAAATATTACTAATTCGACTAATTAAAAGTATTATTAGATTTGAAATCGAGGTTCTTAATTAAATATGGTAGAATCAGCTTGACTCAAATCGAGGTCGATCTGATGGCTAGCAGATCAATCAACTAAATTACAGTGCTAAATAAAAATTTTCGCTTTGATAATATGGATACTCATAGGCCTGAGTAGTCTTACAGAGATGCATGTGTGCATTCTAACGAAATGGTTGCTTTGAACACTTAAGAATTGAAAGGGACATTTTTCTTACCCAGGCCGCAACATGCAGTGTCTTCGCAAGTACCACTTGCACATGGTGGGTAACGAGGCCAATGAGCTGAAGACATTTTCTGATGATATATATATGTATATATATTTTGGTTTTTGGTTGTGTTTGGATTTCATGAACTTGCTGTGCTATATATACATGTCTATAGTTATCCAAGAAAAGAAAAATATAAATTATGTAAACCGTGAATTAAAGAACTTGCATTGAAATCCACCAATTAAAGAACCTGCCGTTGAAATCCACCAATTAAATAAGGATAGGCTTTTCAAGAAAAAAAACTCTGAATATTTAATTGGTGGATTTCAATGGCAAGTTTTTTTTTTCTTATTTAACAAAACTTAAAAAACTTAATAGTAATTTCTTTTCACTTAATAGTTATCTCTTTTCATTGAAATTAAAAATTTCTAATTTTAAATCATATAACATACCAGTGAGGTAGGATAAAGGATGAAAAAAAGTTATTTTTCATTGTGGTGCAACTAAGATAAAAAAAATTCTACTCTTTTTTTTTTTTTGTGTTTACTATTAGGGTGTTTTCAGAATTTCTATACATTTTGAAATTATTATCTCTTAGAACAATCTTAAAAATATACTCTTAAATTTGTTTTATGCACTTAAAAAAATTTAAATGCTAAGTCCAAGACTTGATAAATCTAATCTATAAGATGAAAATGATTGAAATACACTTAATTTAATATATTTTTTAATACTTGTCTTAGCTTAACTATTATAATATAATAAAATATAAT